AGTAGTTTTGTCACAGAAAAATAACAAGCATTTCCCGCCTTCAGTCTAACCTTAATTTCTTCTTCAATTTCGTTTTTTCTAGTTATCTTATAACCTAGATACCTAAACTTATCTACCTGCTCAAACATATTACCATCTATATCGATATCACCAGTAGTATCGCCAATTTTGCAGCTAACCATATATTTTGTTTTATCCACGTTTATTTCGAGTCCTAGTTCTTTACCGGCTTTCATTAACGTTGTCGTATTTAGTTTTATAGTTTCAAGGTCTTCGCTTAACACTACCAGATCATCCGCATAGCCCAGCACGGATGTTGTCCCACCCAGATCCAACCCTTTCTCGGAACGCATTACCTCCCTAATGGCATGTTCTAATGCCAAATTGAACAGTACAGGCGAAAGGGAATCCCTCTGTTTTAAACCCGAACGAACCTCAAATTTTTCGAACAGATTATTACCGATTCTAACTTTATTGAGTGTCTCCGTCAAGCACATCCTGACTAGATTTACTAATTTTTTAGGAATCCCCTGCTCGATTAGAATATTATACAGTTTCTGGCGGTCAATAGAATCGTAAGCCTTTTTAAAATCTATATACAGCTGGTGAACAATACCGTTTTACTCCAATTTTTTCTCTAATATTTGCCATAAAGAAAATATTTGATCAATAGTCGAACGATTCCGTCTAAATCGTCGGTAATAATAGAAATTTACAACTGTATATAAATAAATATACATCTAGTAAATTTGTTACAGAGAAACACAATAGCATGAAAAAACTTATAGAGAATCTATCCATTGGTAGCACTCTAATAAAGTATATAAATTAGGAGATCACGAGGCCATCTTCTGATCATACTCCTCGGAAGGTTATCAGGGATCGAAGAGAAAGCAAGGCTAGAAACGAATGAATTAGGATGGTTCAGAAATTTATTACGAAAAGAGCGGCCAAATCGGTAACATATGGAACAATAAGATCTTTATGGATGATTTTATTTGTGACAAAGTAGGGAGCATTGAGGATTTTACGAAGGATTTTGGATTGTAAGGAATGGATCTGAGAGGAATTCGATGACTTAGTGAAGTCCCCAAAGTTCAACTCCGCAAGTCCAAATATGCCTTATTATAGGCATGTATATGAGTCTTTTGTAATTAATTGGATGTTTAGAGCGTTTGTCTAATAAGTGCTGAATTAGTCGGAAACGTCGAGCGGTTTCTTGTTTTTTTTTATTCTGGTACGAGGATTCTAAGTTAGACTTTGTCCAGGTATCAGATTTGTTCAACAGGGATAAGTGGAGTATTGTTAAAGGATACTGTAGGACAAGAGGTCATAGATTTATGACGAAGCGTAAAGGTGAGGTAAAATTTATTTTGATTCGCCAGTTTTGACACCATTCTTCAAGATTCGTGGTGTGTGATTGAAGAGTTTGGGAAGCTCGCTGTTAGTTAATTGTATATCCCATAGTTTGTGAAACGTCTAAACGTACCTTAAGATGACTTGGAAGGAGTGCCTAGCAAAGAAGGAAGAACTGGATCTCTAAGAATTCAGAGGAAGCAGTCAAGTATTGTTACGATTCTTCTAAACTAGCGAGTTTCCTGCTCTATGGTACTAGAAGAAATCGTGTCCTCGAGATCATTTAGACCCATTAGTCATACACTCTTAGAGCAGCGGTATTATAATCATTGCACACAGGAATCGCTTTGCCATTATACCGAAAATGCAGTTCCTGTCCTAGGTTAGGCAATAGGGAGAGAAAGTGTAGCGGAGTGCTCAACGCATTTGTGGATTAGAGCTATTAAACCAGCCTACAGGACTTACTGGAAGTTGCGTACATCGTTCGGAGAAGTGTGTGGACACTCATCGAAAACCTGTTATTGTGTATGTCTAAATGAACCATTGGTTTTTTTTTTTTTTTTTTTTGGATATGTGCAACAACCAAATTGGAAAATTTCTGATGAAGGTTTGTAGTCGTATGCTATATTTATACAAATTGTAAACGCTTTAGATAAAGAATCGTTATGTTATATCAGAAACGTTGATGATACCATATTTCAAGGATGAATCTGATAAAAGATTCGGTCTGAATTTAAAATGATAAAAAAAAAATCTGGTGTGGCCTACTCCCACGACTTTCCTACCTATTTTAGAAAAGTATTTATACATTTACTTATGTCCATCAAGAAACCAAAAAAAATTGAATTAGATTCATTTTCCTGAAAATTGATCAATGAAAAGATTTGAGTAAGATTTATTTGATAAACTAAAGAAATATAAACCGGCTTAAGGCAGATCAGTGTAAAAATGTCAATACCCTCTAATATTGCTGATCAAAAACTTTTTGCCGTAGCCTAATTTTGTCAAACAATAATTTCTGATAAAAGTAGAGAAGATAGTGAAGCTTGTGTGATGCGGGCAACCGATTTTCTTACTCCCACTTTGTTATCTTTTTTCTCTCATTCACCTCTTTCTGACACCAGGATATGAATCCGTAATCTTACATTTGAAATTGAATAGCTGTAACTTCGTTAATAGTTATCCGAAATGAACGATTTTTATATAGCTTTGTAGGGAATTTTATCACCTTTCAAAAAAGGTGGATGGACCATTTATGCCACAGGCATCAGTAGTCAAAACCCTACAAAATAAAAAAAGAAGCAACAAAATCGGTTAACTAATTCCCGAGAAAATCTTGGCACAGACAGACAGACCAATGCCTAAAAATGTTTTTTTTTTCGGACTCAGGGGTCTCTGAAACGTCTCGAAAACCGTATATTAGAAATTTGAGTCGATCACAATACTTCCCTTACATAGTATAGGTAGAAAAGTAAAATATAAAATTCTCCCTCCACTACGAAAATAGAATGGAGACGAGAATATAATTTCGCCCTTTACCAATATTTTTAAGAACAAAAATAAAATCAAAACCAATAACAATTAATCTACATGAATAAAATATTTAAACTAAAATCAATTAAGGAAATAGGAAAAGTCGAATAGATGACTAAGCTAAGGCCTAGAACTAAGTTCGGAAGTATTTTACTAGGACTTATGCCTATTATTGAAATTTCTACTAACATACCTATATCTATTTTATTATATCTATTATCTATTTTATTTATATATATTATTATATCTATATCTTCTTAGTATTTTATAATCCATTCATGAATGAATCATAAAATTCTAGGATATGTTGCCATTTTCCGAGAGAAATTTGTAGAATCAAAGAATTGAGAGTTCATCTCACTGGCTCAAAACTATAAATAAAAAAAATTAATATATTCAATTGCTTCGTCCTAATATTTTCAAGTATACTCACACGCAAAAAATAACAACTAATGTATAAAACATATACAAATAAATGTTTATATGTAGTATTATGTTGTTCGTTTTACAGTAATTATGTTGATTATCACTCATCATTTTTATACATAATAAAAACTCCCGAGACTTTTTTTTTTTGAGAGGGGGAAGAGAGGGGGTCCATTGCCCCCCCAACCAGTATGAAAAGTCTGGCCCTATGTATTTAACAATAGTTTTTTTTAATAAATTTTAATTACCGCTATATCTTCTTATATAGAAATCTTAAGGCCAGTGCAATCTGTGACTTACTTATTTAGTTACAGAGGCACTCCAAGGTCAGTAGTAACTTTCACGTAACCAAAGCAAAGTAGACCATTGACCTGATAGAAATACTTAGTAAGGCTATTATTAAGTAATTTACCTCCTGATTGCTTTAATTATTTTCCTGTTCTTATTCAACCGAATAGTGTCAGGGAATACCAACGTTTATCATAAATAACAAGAGATTGAATTTTAGAATTACAATTATTTGGAGAAAAAATATCAAATCAAAGCTAATATTATAATTTACAATTAAAAAATTCATTTTTTGATTATTGTATAGAATAACGTAGATTTGATTGACGATAGATTAAAATGTTTTTTAGTTCTAAAAATAAAACTCAATATTATACTTTAATGTTTAAAATTCTATTCAAAATATGATCTATCTGGTTTAGAGTATTTTTATTGTATACGGTGTGTGAAACAATCTATAAAAAAAATCGATAATTAATCATTTCTTAATTTATGCAATATGCATACAAATAAACTATCGCCAAAACGAATTGAAAATCTATAAAATAAACAATTATAATTTATTAACATATATGATTTTTAATCCTCAGATATTATCTGATATATCATATATAGAAGATATATCGACACAAGTTCCTAAACAGCGCTAATTCCATCGATCTTAAAAGTCGATGGAACCGTTGAACCATTGGTGATTCAATCGCTAAATTCTATCACTGGTTTCCATCGATAAGTTTAGGAACGGTTAGATGTGTTTCCGATGTTCCTGATGACCTTTGCGTTGAGTTTAGGAACTTCCTCCTGTATCTATTTATACAATTTATTATTATTATTTTCCTTTCACCAGTTTGATCGTTTGTTCCTATATTATTTTAATTTATCATTTAAGCTTGTTAATGTTGTAATGAGACTTATAAAAAATAAGATGACTTGACTACGATTGAGAACGTATATAAAATGTTTAAAATATGGTGATTTTAACTTTTACTCTTAAAGCATAGCTGATAACTATTTTATTTTTTCATTAAAACGAAGTGCTTCATTTTGAATTGACAATTTTTTTTTTTATGTACAAGCCTTGTATTTTGATTTGGCAAAATAATTAATAATCAAATTCAATTTCTGTAAGCATCAGTTAAATAATATGTGAAATGTATTATTTCGGTAAGAGGAATATATAAAATTTATGAAATTGTTAATAGATAGAAATATATTATATAACATTATCATGAAATTCAACGTAACATTTTGTTTTTATATAATTAATCTAAAGTATCCTCACAGGGGAATTCTTGGTAGCGACCTAACAGTGATTAGGTAGACGGGTTTGAACTATGTAGTACAATTATATCATTCAACTGGACATTACTTTAAAATGAATATTGTTCTTGTTGCAGGCAGTTCCGGAAACGTATGGCTCCTAGAGAACAATGGAGATAATAAACCACAAATGGACAACTCACCCCGAGGAAGACCACCAGGTCAGCAACCTGGGCATCAGAAGAAAAAGAGAAAGAACAATGACCCATACAAAGGTCAGTATTTACATAAGTGTATTATAAGCATGTATCAACAATATATGTATGAGTGTTTCTATATATGTGCATACATTGTGAAGGCACGTGAGTCGTTAATTGATGAAACGTAACCTCATTGCGAAATTCGATTCCAAACCGCACTTGCGAATCCGGGAACTCCAGGATATTAACCGTTATTCCTCTTAAATAACCGGAGAAAGTTATGAGTATTTATTTACAAACGAGCCCATTATCCGATTTCCTACCATTTTTACTAAATAGATAGGAAATTACATGTGCAAAACATTAATTTACTACTTACATCCGTATAAATTCTCTAAGAAAGGGCGAATCAACTATGTCATGAACTTTTTTCTATCTATTTAACGATCTCCCAAATTTCAGTCATCATTCACAACATTGTTACGAAAATCAAGGATTAGAATTTAAAATGCTGCAAAAATTGCAAAAAGTAAGGAAAATATATGTAAAATCAGCTAAATATAAACAATTTTCAAATTAATAAATATTTTTGAAAATATTTCGCTAATTACTGAGAAGTGCCAGGCTTCGATAGTCGACGTTGTATTCACTGGCTCACTTCAAGCAAGTATTAAGAAAAAATTGTCCTTTTTAACTACTATATTCACAGAAATTGAACACCATCGTGATCTATAATGCAGAACCATATATAGAGAGATTCCTCAACTTCTGGATGATCACCTAGTTTTAATGTTCTCTGTTCTGAGACACCAAAATACGATTTCAACACTTTTCTTTCTATTTTTTTATTCTTTCTGAGACCGTTCTGTACCACCAAATTTAGTAATTCTTTCCTCCTATTAAGATTTTAGAGACGATCCGAAAGTTACAAGAAGATATATATTGATATATATATCAATTCATGGGTTGTAAACAATGGTCCGAGATTGAATGTAAAAGAGCCTTCCACATCAACTCCATGTATCGTCTTAATTCCGTCTATTACTCTACCTCAATCGTCTACCTATCCACTTCCTTTCAATACTAATCCTGGGATCATGATATTTTCTAAATCATCCGAAAGTACATTGCTGTCCTTATAAATAAATATGTTTTCACATACAGAACGATAAATAGAAAATTTATTATTTATTAAACAAACAAAAATATAGAATATTAGATTAAATTTGCAATCTGCAAATTTCTTTGCAATGAGCAAATGTTTTGGCAGTTTCACAGGTTTCCATCACGTCCGTTTTATTATCAGCAGGTCTCTTGGCTAACGCCTACGTAATCGTCGTAGTGGGGTGTACGGGTTTCTTGTAAGTTTAAGGATTTCTGTCAGAGGATTCATGTTGTAAGTCAGTCTTTGGTGAAAGTTATTGTTGTTTTCTTGTGCTGTATCTAAAATTTAAATCTTTATGTAGAGTATCATTTGCGACTTAAATCAGTGCTTCAAACTATCCTTTTTTTTAATGTTGGAAATTTTAGCAGAACCCCACAGTTCTATGCCGTAAGTCCAAATAGATTTAAGTAAAACTTTATAAAGGGTTAGTTTGTTAGTTAAAGATAATTTTGAATGTATGTCAAGTAATCTGGATAGAAGACCGCATCGTCTGTTCAATTCTATTCGTTTTTGTCTGATGTGAGTCGTTCAAGTAAGTCTTTTGTCCACGTATAAATCTAAATACATAATTACGTCTGATGTTGGGATTTGAATGTTGTTAAAATATATTTCAGGGGAAGGTTTATGGTGAATACTACATGCACACTTTTTTTTCATTCATCTTAATTTTCCACGTTGAGGCCCAATCAGGAATATCGTTCAGATGATTTTGAAGAATGGTAGATGCTCGAACAGGATTTTTATCTGAGCTTAGGATTGCGGTATCGTCTGCAAAAGTAGCCAGTATTGTGTCATTGTGTTCTGGTAAATCAAACATATATATATATAGTAAACAATATTGGTCCAAGGATACTACCCTGAGGTACTCCTGCTTTTATGATAAAAAGATTACTAAGAAGGACTAAAGGTTTGATATAAATTACACCACTTCATATCCGACTTCGATCACGTTTTTAAAATAACTCTCTTTAGACAACACATATAAGTATATATAAATTATTATTATTATTTTTTTAAGAAAACATAATAGTCCACATTACTTTCAAACGATCAGTAAATACTGATCTTTGAGACAATGGTTGACTAACTGATTGAGCAGTATGTGTTTGGCGCCGCAATAGACCAATCAGCAATTCCTTACACGTAGGGACGTCTAGGGTTTGAAAAGCTGCCGACTGAATGTTGAAGAAGAAAGGATAGAATCCAATGAATTTCTGTTGCAGCAATCAATTACTCGTATCCGTTAAATTTTAAAAACAGCTTTTAAAGTACGAATGGTTATGTTTTCGTTTATACAGCCCTGTCAATGGTGTACAACTTTTCGCTACAGCTGATGTTATGTGTAAATGACAGGCGTAATTAAGGTAGCTGCAGCGTCAAACTAAAATTTAGTAGACTGTGGAAAACTATAACATGTAATTTATATACATTACACTATTTTTTTTTTCTTTGAGCATTACACATGATGTAAACCTTTCGTCGCCTTCCCAGTCTCCGGCTAACTAGAGCTATTTCTTTCCCGTTATTAACATTAGCTCTATTGCATCAATGGATCTGCATTTGACCTTCCTCGTGGTCTCTTGCCTGCTATTGAGGTATCCATTGTTGTGTAGAAGCTTCCAGATGGATTGCTCGGAGCTAAATGTCGCGCCTATTTTAACCTCCTCGCCTTCATATCATGAGATATTGATCTACTAGTTCCTGTAAGCAGTTCTTTAACGGTCTTTCTCCTCCATGTGACAGTACTCTTGCCATTTCTACTACGGGATTTCAATACCTTTGAAACAGAGAAGAAAACTTTGTTTGCGCTTGTTATACGCAGGTATATTTATGAACGTTGGTCATTTGTAGAAGTTATTTTGGTTCCGATATATTTGAATTTGTCTAATCTCGGGAACGGGAAAACGAATTTCCGCTCTACGCTGGTCCTGTTTTGGGAAATTTTTCGGCTTATTACTATATATTTTGTTTTACTTTCATTTATTCTCTCTGCTCTTCTTATCAGTCTCAGCTAGTTTCTCAATGTCCTCTTGGTTGCTTACTAATTTAGTAATATTTATATTACTGGATTAAGGTCAAGATTTCCTTTTTTCTTACAAATAATAAGAAAATATGTTGAAAAATTTTTTTTTTTTTTATCTAAAGTTAGTAACCTTGTTAATAGAGTTTTATGAGGGATTCTTTCATGTCTCGATTTAGGGAGAAACAATTTCAAAATATAAATAACTACTTATTTCATTATAAAACAAATCATGTTTTGCTTAAGATAAAAATACTAACCTGACTTTAGAAGAAATATTTCAATATAAAAAAAAAAACAAAAAAAAAAACAGTAAACAACCACTGGAACTAAACATTGAAGACATATTCCGTAAATAACAGAAGGAAATAGAAAAATCTCTGCAGTATATTAAACAAACAAAATGTTTATGACAGTCTTGGTGACTTTAAAAAAAAAAAAAAAATTAGAGAAGATTGGTTTGGGCGATCAGTCAAATAAAATAAATACAACTTATTTATTAATAAATAAATATAGCATTTTTTTACTATTTACTCAAAAACATTTTTTTTTTACTCACCATTTCAACCAGTCTTCTCTTCAATTATTCACTACTGTCAACCATCAACCCAAAAAAAAATAAAAAAAAATATGGAGGATATAATATTAAACTATTCCAAAAATTAAAATTTTCTTAAGTTTTTTTTTCGTTGCTCTATATTTTTTTTCTGTGGATCACAATAAGCTCTCTTTTTTGAATTATTAAGTACGTTCCAAGAAAAAAGTATCTCGAAAAGTTTTTTTTTTTAATAAGCCTCTTTAAAAGCTACTTGAACATTATTTCGTACATAAGTTTCTTTCTTTCCCTTTCAGAGTAATAACACTTATAATAATGAAAAAAAAAATCATAAATTGCCCCCAAATTAAATCCTGCATTCTGATAACTGATAGATACTTTTGATTCATATTTTCGATAATCAATTCCGTAAAAATTTACTAACAAAATATTTTAAATACTAATTTATACTAATTTATATTATCTGTCCAACAGACAGATTGTTATAATACTCGATAAAGAAATTAAAAAAAAAAAAAAAAAAAAAAAAAAATTTATATTATATAATATCTAAAAGAAATTGATATTTATTTTTTAAAAATCCAGTTTTTGTGGAATGTATAATCAAGAGAAATAAAAATACCATTTAGTATAGACAAAACTTGGATCGTAAGATAATTTGCTCACAAAGTCGAGAAAAAAGCTGGCCTTCAAAAATATTGAGGCGTTTGGCGTGATATACACCCCTAAATTTTTAAAAGAACGAGGTTATATAGGACAGATAGCCCAATATTTTTGTAGGTCACCTTTTTTATCGACTTCATAATCAAATTATCTTATGATCGAAGTAGAAAGTTACGAGTTTTTAGTACCTAATTAAAAAGACAATGTTTGCCTCCCTCTAGATTGAAAACTCCCCAATTTTAAGCGTTTTCTTAAATACGATGAGATATAACTATTTACGAAGTTTCAGGCGGATGTTAATAATTCACTAAAAAGGGGTATGTACCACGGAATATGATGTAATAATTATTAAAAAAATATCTGAAATAATAAAAAAAAATAAATGTGAAAATATCTTAAAAAGATGTGGATGATATTCAATCTATACATACTAAAAAAAATTAAATAAAGATGTATATGACTTCAATCTACTGTAGACGTGTTTGTATTTTTCTGAATAAAACCAGAAAAATTGTCCTTAATACTTTAGAACCGTCCCTGCAAGAGTCAACGGTTTTTCAACCTGTTTAACCGGATCTTGAGGAGGCAGGGCATTTCCCAACATCGGATTCCTGAAGGACCGAAGGGATATCCATGGCCTTACCCACTCCGGATGAATCCTATCGCTAGCA